CCTAGGGGTGTTCAAACTTGACAGCTTTAAGACTTGTGGACTTCAACTCCCAGAATTCCTTCTCTCGCTCTTGATGATGTGTGGACGGGCAGGGAGAGGGAGTTGGAACCGGTTCTAAATGGCACTGTAGATTTGTGGAACCTCTTCTATAGAAGAGGTTAGAACTGACAGGAACCCACCCCTGGTACAGTGAGATGTTTTTCTTAGAGCAGGGCTGTCAAACTCCTGGCCCATGGGCCGGATGCATCAAGTGCTGGCTATGCCCACACCTGGTTAGGGAAAGGGGGGAAGCCCCAATATGTCATGTGACACTGCTGTGACATGAGTTTGACACCCCTGTCTTAGAGGATAAAGAATTGGAATTGTAGAGGAACTATAATAAAAGTCATGGAAACAAAGCCATAGAACCCATTTTAGCATTCATTTTACCTGCTTGTCAGACTAGTATCAAGGCTCAAAAAGAAAAAGAAAAACATTTCAGGGGGTAACATCACAACTACTGAACAATTACACATTTTTTTAAATTAATGTCTCCTTATTTCCCCAATCAAAATTGCTGTCTCCAATATAGGGCAAGATAATAGGGATTGTTTACAAAATTACAGATTGCCAAACATTTAGAGAGCTTCTATTTGTTAATTCACACTTCAAAACATTTCTTCTGAGCTTATTGGTTACAAAATAAACATTAACTTAAAAAAAGAGAAGAAAATATTATGTTACAGTAAAACCTAAATTGTATTTAGGTATAGGAAGTTACCTAATCAGCTGGATGACTTTGGATCAGTCACTCTTTCAGTCCAAATCACTTCATAGGGTTGTTGTGGAGAAAATAGGAGAAGAAGGTGTGTTGATATGTTCACTGCCTTGAGTTTATTTATAAAAATAATAAACGTGGATACAAATAAATAGATAGCTTAGACTAGATAACCTAGTGACTAGTTGGGTCATCTTTTGAGAAAAAGATGATATGACAAATGCTATTTTTAAATTTTTTATTTATTTATATCCTGCTTTATTTTTTTACAAATAACTCAAGGCAACCAACATATCTAATACTCTTTCTTCCCTACAATAACATTGAAGTTTTGGCTAACTACATTTTTCTTACCATTGTGCTTGATAGTTCCATGATCATCAAAGAAGAGTTTATATCAAATAAAAAAGTATTGTAGTGGAAAACAAAGTCTAATGATAAGTCAATATTTACTTATCTAAATAGATAAACAGAATGATCGGAGGTGGGCAAAAAACCTGTGATTGTGGGAGTGATTTCTAACTTCCTGCTAGCTTCCCATTGATATTGCTGGCTCAGAAATCATGGTCATGTGACAATGGCCACAACTTTGGGAATAAAACTGGACTGAACATTGTGGAAATTTAATTCCACAGAAATAATTGTAATTATTTTACAATTTTACAATTGTAATGGCAATTGTAATCTAACAACAAAATAAATAGCGAGCCAACAATAAAAATATTTGATGAAGGCAAAAACCCAATGGAGCCTTTTGTATTTAGCTCAATGGGATCCCAACATTTAGGCACAAGAGAAAGAAAAAATACCCAGAAGCATTAGAGTGAATGCATGAAGGTTAAAATATGGAACTGGATCCAGAGAAATCTAATTTAAAAACCATCATCAGCAAGAGAGCTTCCTGAGGGAGCCAGTCATTCTCTTAGCCCAAGTATCCTCTCAGTTGTTCTTGCAGATAAAGTAGAAGTGGGTGTGATGTACTTTGGTTTAGCTTCAAATAATATGCAGGATATAAGTATGAGAAATTTTTTTTAAAAAAA